TAGCTGTGACGAAGACTGCCTGTCTCTAACTGTATGTTGACCTTTGCGATGAGGTCGGCTGCGATCATCAGGTTGAGTCGGAAGAAATGGCCAGAGTCTATCAGCTCCTTCGCCTCGACGTTCTCAAGATCGAAAGCGCCCGCTACCCAAGCGACAGTTTCCTCGCAGTTCGGCGAAGCCGACGCCGCGGTCCTGACCGCATTGCACCGCCACCGCTAGTTATAAGCAGCATCGGGGATCGCCTCCAAGACAATTTCCCCCGCCCTGCCTGCGTGGCAGGGGCAACATCCACAATCAGAAATGGGGAACCGTCGCCGCCGCCACCGCCTCCTGGCGGATCGCCGCCAGGCGGTCCTCCGCCGCGCCGGCGCCGACGGTCTTGGTCACGGCCCCCTGGTCCATCAGGGGTTCATCGCCCTCGCCATCGTCATCGCCATCATCTCCGCCGTCATCGCCAGGAGAACCTGAACCTGGATGTTTCGGTGCCAGTGCCTACTTCGGGGGAATCGCCTCGTCTTCCATATATGTCTGCCTGGCGGTGGTCGGCAAACCCCCCGGCGCCGGCGGCGTGCACCCTGGAAAAAAAAGAAGGCCCCAATGCTGGCGCGGACTGTCTCCGAGCTGGCTTTCATGTCCTTCTGCGTCCGGACATCTTGCTTGGCCCCCATCCTCTCTTTCCTGGGCCTGCCGCGCCAGAGCAGCAGCCGCCTCGGTCCGTCTCTCGTGCATCTCTTGGAATCTTCACCTTAGGTTCAGCGCGCATCCTGGCGCGGTCCTCTTCCCGCTGCAGAGCCAGTTCGAGCATGTCCTTGAGTCTCTCGCGTTCAGCTCTCGCGGCCCCTTCCAACTCAACCAGCCTCTTCGATTCAACGCCCCCGGCCTGGTGGCCATCGATTCCCGAGGCATTGCCTCGGGCACGCACGGGCCGAGATAACCGATCACGAGAGCTGGCCCTAGACACAGCGGCATTCCGTTCCTCGAGCTCCTTCCTCGCCCGACGTCCCTCACATTCTTTCTCCCGAAGTCTTTCCTCCACTTCGTTGCTTCTCGTAGTCGCGTCTTTCCGCGACAGCGCGCGCGCCTCGCCATCCGGCGCGAAGCGTTCGTCATAAGTGCCCTCGCTGCACGCGGCGAAGTCGCGAGCAACCACCTTCGAGCACAAGAAACACCGCAAGGCCCCCGCGTAGAGTTGCGCCCCGCGCTCCTCTGCGACGCGGATATCCCAGCCACTGGCGGGGCCGACGACGGTGTAATATGCGCAGCGGCAGCATTCGATTCCGCTGCTGACCCTGTCCCCGATGATGCTGCGGAAAACGCCCCGATCGGGTTCCACTGCGTCCGACGCCCATTCGGCTTGCGACGCAGCATGCCCCATTCAGCTTCCTGGCTCTCCAGCGTCCGGGCAGCCATCTGCTCCGCCGCGCGAGCAGCCGCTGCGACTTCCCCCTCAACACTCGCTTCGACGAGTTGCATATTTTCCCGAGCGCGCTGCATTTCAGCCGCGGAACGAGCATGACTCTCGCGTGCGGCGACGCGATCCGCGTCGGCCTGCTTGACAGCAGCGGCTGCTCCGCGGCTGACCGCGCACTGCGATTCCCCGCTGCTCGCAGCTCCTGGGCCGCTCGCGACGCAGTCGCGCGCCGAGCTTCGCCGGCTCCCCGGACCGCGCGCTTCGCTTCTTCAGCGTGGCGTTTTTTTGTTCGGATGTTGCACATGGCGCTCGGAAGCAACTGTCATCTCCAGCCTGCTGACGAGCGCTCTCATCCCCGCCGTCGCTGCAGAGGCATGCTCGGCTACCGCCGCCTGCTGACGCCCCTCCAGAAACCGCGCGGCAGTCGCCATTGCCTCCTGGTCTCGCACCAACCGAAAGGTAGAAGCCGCACGCCGTTGCAACTCTGACTGTCTCAATTGCTCGCGCATCTCCGCGAGGTCCCCACCTGGCCCCCATCATCTCAAACCTCCTCCTTTCCTCAACTTCTCGCCGCTCGTTCACGCGTAAACCTGCGCAACCATGCGCATTTGGGGCGGCGCAAGCCGGGCGTGAGGAATCAAACTTGCAGAGGCCACAGACATCCGAGCATTCGTAACAGACTGGCTTCTTGCTGCCCTGAAGACCCAGGGCATCGCGAATCAGGAACCACGGCGCATCTTGGTCCGTAGCTGACACGCGCGGCATCGACGCGCATGCTGAATGCACTCGACCCACTCGATAGGTTGGCCAGGTCGGACACCTCAGATCGCGGCCTTGGGGCCCTTGGTCGGCCCTTCTCGGCGCCCCTCCTGCGAGGAGAGCGGGCCCGTGGGCCAGGCGTCTTAGACACCGAGGTCGATGGTCTGCAACTTGCCCAAGAAGGACGCGGCGGGAACCCGGGCGCATAGATCCCGCCCACCACCACCACCACCCCCGGAGCGGGCACAGGGTCGCGCTCGGGGGCGCCGTCAGATCTGCTCCGCCCGCCGAGCAGCGATGTTACAGAAAGACTAACCGGCTCGCGTCTTTACTTGCTCGCCGTCCTGACAGGGCCACTCACGAATTCATCTTCAATAATGTCCTTCAAGTTCTGCCCCACAGAGTCGTCGGGCAGAATCGCGGCTTCCTCGCCGCGCGCGAGGGGCGCCTGCGCAGGAGGCCGGTCGTCGCCCAACGGGACCGGGGATTCGCGGTCATAGGAGGCTTCGCCTCCTCCTTCACGTGGCTGGCGAGTTTCACGGTGGACGATGGGTCTCGGCGTCGATCTGCGGGACAAAGTCTCCTCCGACGAGATGGACTCCACATCGCGCTCACCGTCCGAGAGGTCGACGAGGACCTCGGGTTGAGCATCGATCGGAACAGGATTTTGTTCACCGCCGTCGTACCAGTCAAGCACCTCATCGCACTTTGCCTACGGAATGTCCGGGCGAGGCTCGTCATCGAAGGAGATGTGCTTGGAGTGGGGGCGCTGACTCGGTTATCTGACATAGTCGGCTGGATCTGCTCCAGGATCATTCGCTGTCGAGCCGCGGCGTGATTCTTCTTTTGGTCGTACATATTCCACATACGGTTTAAACATAATTCCCGTATCTGATGGTACCACTTTCATCGATGATAGAACCATCGGCTGATAACCAATACTTGGACAATCCTCCGTAAGGATGGGAGCTCTCGTAGCCCAACTGATCGGCAAAATGCGTTGTTGTTAATAGTGTTGCTCTTCTTCATGTTCATCATGTAGCAGTCTCTTGCTCAGGTTCAAGTGGTGGATTGGAGGCGTACTCCTTGTCACCATGGCGAGAAGTGTGTTTAGGGGCCGTTAAGCTTACGACTGCTACAGACAGACGAGACCTGACCGGCAGGCGCGCGGCGGGGCGGGGCGCTCTTTTGCGATCGCAGCCAACACAGCCGCAGGTATGTAACTGCTAGTGTTGCTGAGGCACGCAAGGGGTTTGACTAAAAATGCTGTCCCTAATCATTGAGGCGCGTTTGCAAGCTGTGCGTAACTGAAGGGATCTACCATTGCTGGGCTCCGTGTGCGAGGGCAGCTGCTGAAGCAGCCCTCTCGTCGCGTCGTCTCGTCGTCTGCTGCTTGGCCCTCTCCTGTGCCACTGGGCACCGGCTGCGCCAGTTTAGAACCTGCGTGCGCACTAGCTTTTGCAGTCCTCGCCCAGGCAAGCAGGTGGCCGCGAGTTGCTCGCACTTACCGTCGTCGCGGATGGGAATTACCCTCCTCCTCCTCCTCCTCCTCCTCCTCCAAATCCTCTTCCTTTTCCTTTTCCTCCTCCTCCTCTCCCTCCGCGTACTCCAACCTCCTCCTGCATCATTTCTCCTTCTCTTCCTTCTCCAACCCCCGTTTCAAAGTCATCGTTGCCCGTTTCCTCCGCCTCCTTCCGTGGCGCGAGGCCAAGGAGGATGAGGAGAAGGGGGAAAAGAAGGACGACGGCGAGGACGACGGGACGACCACGTCCACGAAGACGAGGACGCCAGATGACGAGACGGCGGAGGAGGGAGGATGAGGATGGGGATGATACTCATGCTGATGATGCTGCTGATGCTGATGTTGGGGCTGATTATGCTGTTACTGATGGTGGTGATGTTGATGATGATGTTGATTATGGTGCTGATGCTGATTATGCTGCTGCTGATGGTGATGATGCTGATGGTGCTGATGTTGCTGCTGATGATGGTGATGATGACGATGCTGCTGGTGCTGCTGATGATGACGATGAGGTTGATGGTAATGATGATGGCGACAACGCTGATGACGATGTTGATACTGGTGGTGATGGCGGTGCGTGTGATGATGATGACGACGTTAATGACGATGATGATGACGATGATGATGATGATGATGATGATGATGATGATGATGACGATAACGATGACGATGATGACGATGGCGATGCTGATGATGATGACGATGATGATAATATGAGTATTACGATGGTGGTGATGATGCTATGGAATGTCATGACATGGCATGAAATAAACTGGAATGGCATGGAAGGAGCTGAAGTTTAATCAAACGGACTGCCAAGTAATGCAATGAAGTGACATACGATGAAAAAACACTATAGTAGATTAGATGAGCGGCGCTGAAACGAAATGAACATGGTGATGGTAATGTTGCTAGTGCGGATGAGAGTTATGATGCGTACGGTGGTGATAACAAGGAATTCTTGCTTGACCAAGAGGGAGAGAGAGAGAGGGTTTCGAAGGGGCGAAAATCTAAGGAGCGAAAGCGAATCCTCCACCTCCTCCTCCTCCAGCACAACCCCTCCTCCCCCTCCTCCTCCGACTCCGACTCTCTCCGACTCTCTCCTCCTCCTCCTCCTCCTCCTCCTCCTCCTCCTCGTCCTTGTCCTTGTCCTCGTCCTCGTCCTCCTCGTCCTCCTCCTCCTTCTCCTCCCACTCCTCCTCCTCCTCCTCCTCCTCCTCCTCCTCCTCCTCGCCCTCCTCCTTGAAGCGGAAGTTCGACCCCGCGCCCTTCCGGGGCCGCGTGAGGGGGGCGGGCGGGACCCCGCGCCTCGTCGCCTGGCTGCTGCTCGGGCTCGGTCCAGGCGTGCCTCGTCCGCAACAGTCGCACCTGGTCCGCGCTGAGGCCCGGCACGGCCTTCGGAGAAGGGGGGCAGAGGAGAGGAGGAGGAGGCAGGAATTGGAGGATGAGGAGGATGAGGAGGAGTAGGAGGAGGAGGAGTACCAGTGCGAGTCCACGACGCATCAGCGATAATGCAATGTACCCTCCCTCCACGCTTCATCTTCGTGAGGCCCTACTATAATATATTTCATTGCGGGTAATGCCCCAGCGGAAAACAAACTCCCTAGAATCCTCAATCGTGCCCGAACACGATTATTGGGACTTCAGCGCCGCGAATCCATGTGACCGCCCTGACAATCCGAAGACGGGCCAGAACACCAAACCCTGGAATTAAACACCGGGAATTAACGTGGCTGCTGCGATTTGACAGCCCTAAGTCATGAGAGAATATCATTCCTGGGACTTCAACCAGGCAAAACCTTGAAACATGCTCGTAAAACACGTCCCGCCCTCCATCTTTGAAAATGTTGCACATGTCAAGTTTCAGGATCATAGATGGTGCGGAATTATCAGGAAAACGCCCGCCTATTTATGAGGGGAATGAATTGAGGAGGAGGAGGAGGAGGAGGAGGAGGAGGAAGAGGAGAAGGAGGAGCAGGAGGAAGAGGAGGAGGAGAAGGAGCAGGAGGAGGGGAAGAAGGAGGAAAAGCAGAAGGAGGCAGGAGGTGCGGGAAGAGTAGGAGGAAGCAGGAGGAGGCAGGAGGTGCAGGAGCAGGAGTAGGAGGAAGCAGGAGGAGGCAGGAGGAGGCAGGAGAGAGTAGACGGAGGCAGGATGAGGCACGAAGAGACAGGAGGATGAGGAAGAAGAGCGGCGGAGGAAGAGCAGAGGAGGAGGAGGAGGAGGAGGAAAAGCAGGAAAAGGAGGAGGCAGGAGGACGAGGAGGAGGACGAGGAGGAGGAGGAGGAGGAGGAGGAGGAGGGACCCCAACTTTCTCTCGATGCGAAACATCGCGGCGGACTGTGTTAAGCTTCGGCCCCCGGGGGCGCTTACCGAGCCCCGTGACCGTCAAACATTGGCTCCAGATGACGAGCTGGTCTCGGAGAAGGGCCTGGACTTCTGGGAGACGACGTTGTGAAACAATCGCGACGTCGGATATCTGGGGAGAAAGAGGAAAGAAGGAGGAGGAGGAGGAGGAGGAGGGAACAGGAGAAAGGAGGGAGAAGGGAGGAGGGAGGGCGAGAGAGGGGGAGGGAGGAGGGAGGGAGTGAGGGAGGGAGAAAGGAGGAGCTGGAGGAACAGCCGGAGGAGGGAGGAGGTCGTCGCGCGCTGAGATGGTAAGGATTGTGGTCGGCGCACCTGTCATGATCAAGAGGGGTGGAGGGGAGGAGGACGGAGGAGGGGCGACGAAGAGGAGTAGGAGGATAATGAGTATGGTAAGGGGGGTGAGAAGGAAGAGGAGGAGGAAGCGGCAACCATCACGCTGCCATGAGGAAAACCGACTACGTAAGAAACGCGGAATAAGAGAACAAGGACCCGAACCCCTTTCTCCCCGTGTTTGTGTTCCTGTCTCTCCTCCCGCCCTCCTCCTCCTTCCCTTCCTCTCACACCTTCCCCTCCTCCTCCTCCTCCTCTTGCCAACGCAGGCATCAGCATGTTTCGGTGCTGGCCCTGTAGCTCGCGCGGGTGCCTTTCGCATCACGAGCCAAATGAAGAGAGATCGCGAAGCACATCCGCAACCCCAATCGAAAACGGCGAAGGCCGATGCTGCACTGTGCAGCCCTGTACCACCCAGACCGAAACAGCGAGCCCAAAACAGTGTCGCGGCACGTCACCAGCTGAGACGTCAACTGCATGCGACGTCTGGCCATCGTCACACACACACAGAAAGGAGGAACGGGAAGAGCAAGGGGGGGCGAAGCAGGAAGAATGACCGAGACAATGATGACTGACACTGTCACTGTGTGCGCATCCCCACATGGTCCAACCGACCTGTGCACAATACGAAACGAAAGCTGCAACCCATACGGCGACGTGGCTGATAGGAACCATGCCGGGAACTCCGTCATGCGGGAGGCGACACCAAAAGGGCGAGGAAGCAGAAAAGGTGGGACGACCCCACGGCAGGAATAGGCAATATTAGCAAGCTGGCTGGGCGATGTATGCCAAACTGGGTGCAAGCACTCACCACTGTTTGGAAATACAGAACTGAATGGGTGAGGCACGACAGTGCCCGCATCATCGAAAGGTCGGGCCCATGCGGCAAGAGGGCGAGTCCCAGGCTGCACGAGCGACCCGTGGGATCGGCCGACCGCGGCCGTGAGCTAAGCCCATACACACGGCACGTGCACATAATTAACGGGAGAGGCGGGGAACGAGGAGGGAGGAAGGGGTGTGAGCAAGGACAACACAAACACCATATCATATTCGACAGAAGGCTGGCAGGCGAAAGTGTGGTGCCGTGCACCCTGAATGAGAGCTGCCCCCTCGGGGGCCTTCTTCACCCCGTGCTCGTCCGTGACGGTGACGGTGGTGAACAGGTCGCCGCGGAGAGCCGGGTATGCGCCAGGGTCCTGGAGCCGCGGCGCCCGCGCCCCCATCTCGTCGTCGTCGTCGTCGTCGTCGTCGTCGTCGTCGTCGTCGTCGTCGTCGTCGTCGGCGTGGTTGACGTCGTCGTCGTCGTCGCCGCAGCCGCCGCCGTCCTCTTCGCCGTCGGCGGCGTCGCGTCATGGCGTCCTCGCGGCCGCTGGCACCGCCGCTGTCGTCATCGTCGTCGTCGACGACGTCGTCGTTGCCCTCGTCCTCGTCGTCCAGGTCGCCAGGGGAAGTGAGGGGATGAAGGCACTGTCACAAGCAAGGCCAAACAGCGTCAGAATGAGAAAGACGGAACGACGGGGTGTGGCAATCGGAGAGGGGAGGGGGGGCAAGATGGGAGAGGAAGAGGAAGAAGACAAGGACAAGGAGGAGGAAGAGGAGGAGGAAACTGGAGAAGGGGAATCATTAGATGCAGGAGGAGGAAGAGGAGAACGACAAAGGAAGAGGAGGGGTGGGAGGAGTGGAAGGTGGAGGAGGTGGAGGAGGAGGAGGAGGAGGAGGAGAAGGAGGACGCGACGACCTTGCGGCAGAACGTCAGCTTCATCAGCAGCGGCTATCGCCTGGATGCCTCCTCCTTGGCCTGAATTCGGGCTGCCAGCGCTCGCAAACGGTCGGAATCGACCAAGCGAGACGACCCAGCAGCGAGAGGGCCTGGAGGGGCAAGAAGCACCGACTTCGGCGGCGCTCGCAGGCGCCAGCGAGTCATCACCCTCGGGATTGTTTCTGTAGTGAGGGTGGAGGCCAGCCTGAAGACGAGTGAGCACCTGATCTCCCGCAGTGCCCAACTTCTTGAGACAGGTCTGACCTAGCAAGTAGCATCGCCTGCTGGTGTAGGCCCCGCATGCAAAACAGAAAAACAGCGGTCTTTGGGTTTTGTTCAGGATGGCAAATCCCAACTTATGGTGCCGCTCGGTCTCAGCACCCTGGAGGCGCCTCAGAGCCGTGGACAAACCAGCACAACCGTTCATCGGGCGGGACTCGCCATCGAACGAAATCATGGAACATTTCTTACATCTGAAAGCGGGTCGATCGCCACTGAGTTCATCCCAATCGTGCCAATCGGGCGGGGGAGGAACTCTAGGCAACCGCTTCTCTTTCGGGGGTCTCTCAAAGTGCAGCTTAGGAAAAAGAGAGAGCACCTTCCCGAACATCAGAACACACGATCGAAGGGCCTGTACCTGCCTATCCAGGGTCTCCAGATCAGCAGGGGCAGGCTGAGGATGAAGCGAGAGAGCGAACTTAGCCAGGCGGTCAGCGTCCTGGTTGGCTAAAGCTATTCGCTTCTGGTCAGGTGGGGGGGCCTGTATGATAGCATCCGACCGATGGGCGGGCGTATGCTGGGCCTCCCCCAGGGCATCGAATCCAGGCGATTGCTGCGCGGCACGGCGGAAGCCCGCAAACATTTCCCGCGGGCACAGCTGCGCCTCATCCGAGAGATTATGCAAGCGCACGGCCCCTTTGCAATCACTGTAAGGAGCACTCATGCCCGAGCTAAACGCACAAGCAGTGGCCAGGCCCAAGTGTTCGGCCTACTGGGGCGTTTGGTGCAACACTGGCCACACAGTGGCCATGAAGCGGGTCCGAACCTGGTAAACGTCCCCTGGTTCCAAGTAAACTCCCACGAAGGCAGCGCGGTTGAGCTCTAAAACTGGGTACTGGGTGGCCGAGCCGTCGACCACTAAGTCACAGCTCTCACTCCGTTCTACAAACTCCTCGAGAGACAAAGGCTGCCCATTCGCATCCTGGAGGAGGGGGAGGAGGAGGAGGAGGAGGGGGAGGAGGAGGAGGAGGAGGAGGAGGAGGAGGAGGGGGAGGGGGCGGAGGAGGAGGAGGAGGAGCAGCAGCAGGAGCAGGAGAAGGACCAGAAGGAGAAGGAGGAGGACAAGCAAGAACTTGACATGGAGCAGGAGGAGGGCGAGGAAAGGGGGAGGGGGAGGCGAACGAGGAGGAGAAGGGAGGGAGGAGAGAGGCGGAAGGCAAGCCTCCCACACCTCCTCCTCCTCCTCCTCCTCCTCCTCCGCCTCCTCCTCCTTCTCCTCATCCTTCTCCTCCTCTTGCTCCTCCTCATCCTCGTCATCATCACCATTATCACCATCAGCCGCATAAGCACCGTCATCATCACCATCAGCCTCATCGTCATCACCGTCACCAACATCACCATCAACAACATCAACACCAACATCAAATCCAGCATCATCATCATCATCATCATCATCAACATCATCAGCATCATCAGCATCATCATGATCGTCATCATCAGCATCACTATCAACATCGCCATGTTGTCCATCACCCTCAGCATCATGATCAACAACATCATCAGCATCATCGTCCTAATCATCCGCATCATCAGCAGCACACTCATCATGCTCACCATCATCACTGTCGGCATCACCAACACCACTTTCATCATCATCGTCATCGTCCTCATCAACGGCATCGACATCATTACCATAATCATCCGCATCATCACTGTCGTCATCATCATCCTTACAATAATCACCATCGCCATCACCACCACCATCATCAGCATCATCATCTGCAGTATCATCCTAGGCATCAGTTTCTCCTCCTGACTATATCCCGCCTCCTCCTCCTCCTGCTTCTCCTCCTCCTCCTGTTTCTCCTCCTCCTCCTGGGATCTGGGATCTGGTGGTTGGTCTTCCCACGGGAACTTGAGCCATGACCGCTCCCTCCCTTCCCCACTCGCTGCTGTGGCCCAGAGGGTGGAACATAACCTCTTGTTAGCTACCCCGAGAAGATCCTCCATCCCACCTTTCCTCGGCCTCCTCCTTCTCCTCTTACTGATCCTTCTCCTCCTCCTCCTCCTCCTCACTTGTCTCTCTTCCTCTCCTTCATGGTTCCTTATTTCCTTCTTCCCCCCAGGGTCCTGCGACAGCAGCCACTGCCTGGCGGCCTGGATATTCCTCTCGCGGGGCGCCCGCCAGCCGTCAGCGTACCTCCGCTGGGAAGAGAAAGGCAAGGAGGGCGATGGCAAGCAGGGGGAGCAGGAGGAAGAGCTTGAGGAGATATAAAAAGGAAGGCGATGGAGACCTAGACCCGAGGGTGATGAGGAAGGCGACGAAGAGGCGGAGAAAGGTAAAGGGGGGGAGAAGGATGAAGAAGATGATAAATGCACGGTGGAGGTACTTTTTGGTTTTCTCTTCAAGGGCCCAAAAGAGGCCCACGCATGCTGATCAATTCTGGGCCTAGTTCGGCGCCGCCCTCTCGCGCGCCGCAGCCGCCCGCGCCTCTCGCGCCTTCAGCCCGCGCGCCCGCGCCTCGTCGGCGGCGCCGAACCCGTGGGCGCGCAGGGCCGAGGCGAGGGGCGGCACGATCAGCCCCGCCGCCGCCGCGTTGGCGGCTGCACCCTCCGCCGCGGGGGCCGCCCGCGGGCCTCCTTGCGCGGACGATGTCGTCCACGCAGCCGCCGCCGGCGGGGCCGCCGCCTCGGCGTCTCCGTCAGGCGCGGCCGGCTTGTCGAGCCAGCGCGCCTTGACCTCGTGCGTGGGCGGCACCAGCGCTCCGAAAGGCTGCTTGGCTCCAGGGGGCAGGCCGCGCTCGAAAACCCTGTTCGCGTCTGCGCCCTGGAGCCCTTCTTCGCCCGCACGGAGGCCCCGCTGCAGGCGTCGCGGAGCCCCTTCCACGCCATCTTCGGCGTCCGCGCATACAAAAAGCATGAGGTGCAGACCAGGAACGGCTCGGTCTCGCCGCTCAGCACCTGGCCCTGCATCAATTGGTGCTCGTGCACCTGCCAAGGCGGTCCTCCTGCGGCAGGCCGCTCCTGGCTGCCTTCGCGGGCCCCAGCGCCGCCCGCAGCCTTTGGCGCTGTCGCCGCCTCCTGGCGCCTGTTCGCCACTCGCCTGAAGGCGGCTCCAGCCGAGGAGCCTGGCTCGCCGCCGTGGGCCGCCTCTTCCTCGTGGCTGCCCTCAGGCTGCCCGCATGCCGCTGGGCGCTTGCGCGTGGCCGCGCTGCTCGCGCCGCTGGCCGCCGCTGGCCGCCGCGCCTGTGCCGGCTGCAGTCGGGGCTGCGCTGGAGGCTGCTGCCGCGGTGATCGCCATCAGCCCTGCGGCCGCCGCCGCCCCTGGGGAGCCCCCTGTCGCTGTGCTGGCCTCGCTGTAGTCCTCGGCGGGGAAGCCGAAGTCGAGGTCCTCGAGCGTCGATGTCGGCCAGCAGTCCCTGGCACCAGAATCCCAGACGTGGATGTCGATCTCCGCAGCGTATCTCGCCGCGTCGCGGGCCCTAGCCACCAGGCCCTCCAGCGCCAGCACGTCGGCGTCGTCCGCCGCCTGGAGGCCAGCACCCTGCTTGGCTCGCTGGTCGGCAAGTCGGTTGCCGTCCCTCTCCAAGGCACTGACCTCCCCGCGCCTGACCGCCTCCTCGGACGCGTCGGCGGGAATGCGCCTGGCCGAGACACCTTCCGAGGCGTCTACCACTCTGGCCCAGAGGTTGGCGGGCGGGGAGGCTGGGCCTCGCGCCCTCTGGGGGTCGCGAGTGTAGTCCACCGTCCCCTTACATAATCCGAAAGGATCGCGTGGGCGCCGACGATCTCCGCGAGGGCAATCACCGCCGCGCAGCCCCCCCCCCGCCCTCGCCGTTTGGGTTGGCAGCTCGTGCGGCGGCGCCGAACCCCAGACCTGGGCCAGCGCTCTGCCCTCCGCCGACATCGCGATGACCGCCCAGCCCGCGCTGCGCAGGGAGGGGGAAAGCTGTTGATGCAGGAGCCGTCGGTGAAGACTCGTCTAACTTCGCGCCCATGCCGCGCGCCACCTCCGCCGCCTGCCGCAGGTCGGGAGGCGGTCGGCCCCGCCGCCGCGCCTGCCAGGCCGGGCACTCGAAGTGCCCGTGGAAGACGGTGCCCTCGCCAAACTGGCATAGAAGGAACCTGGGGCCGATGTCCCCCTTGCGCCTGGCGAGCCTGGCTCGGGGCCAATTCCCTAAGGAGACCAGCCAGCGCAGGCAGCCCTTGTGGTGTCTGTTCCAGGTCGCCGTCACCCTCATGCCCAGGAGCTCGTTGTTGGGCTTCCGCGCTGGCGGCAGTCGCCACGGCCACGGCGCCTCAGGTCTCGCTCGGGCCTCCCCCAGCAGCGCCGCTGCTCCCCCGGTCGCCTCTCGGGCCCTCTCCGCCAGGAAGAAGGGGGGAGACAGCGGGCGTCGAACTCCAGGCCCTGCTCGTCGCGCATGAGGAGCCCCTCGCCAACGAGCTGCCATGCGAAGCGCATCAAGGTGGGCGCCAGCGCCGAGACAGGGTCGCGCACCGCCGCCCATTGCCTCAGGCAGCGCTCCAGGCGCCTGCTGTCGTCCAAGCAGGCCTTCACCGCGGCCGACCAGGCCTGGCGGGCGCAGGTGGCACTGACGAAGGCTTGGGCCCCCATGCCCGTCGCGATCACCAGGGGATCCTGCCTCCAGCCGCGGAACGCTGCGCCGCGGGCCAGCCGACCTGCTATCTTGGCCGCCGCCGCTCGGAGCGCCCGCATGCGCCCTGGCGGCGCACCCGAGGTCGCCGACCCCCAGAGGGCCATGGCCGCCGGCCCCGCCCTCATCACTCGGGCCTGTCGCAGCCCAGGGCCGAATATGCGGTTGAGGCGAGCCGCCTGGCGAAGGGCCGCCAGCTCCCTGGCCACCTGCGTCGTCACTCTGCGATGCCCTCCAGCGCTCGCGTCGCCGCCCAGATCTCGGTGGCCCGACACGAAGGCGCCCGCGGGCAGCGGCCATCCTGCTTGCGCCCGCAGGTCCCGCTGCAAGTCGATCGACGAGGCGAGCGCCTTTGTCTTGCCCCAGTTGATGGGCAGTCGCTTGCCCTTCACCATGGCCGCCACACCTGCGACTAACTGGTTGATCTGGCGCACCAGGAGCGCCTCGCGCCAATGCCGTGCCCCGCCACATCATCGATCACGTTGACCACCCGTCCATCTCAGAGGAGTGCGCGACCACGGAGCAACAGGTCGCACAACATCAACCGAGCCATCGAGGCAGCACAAGAGCAGCCAGCGATCACCGACCCTGCCACGCAGATCTCCTCGCTGATAGCGCCGTCCACCGTCGCCCGCATGGGCCAAGCGTAGGCCGCGCGGGGGGTCTTGACCGGCCCAGGGCTGAAGTCGCGCGCCTGCGCCGCCTCCAGCAGCAGCCCATGGTCGATCCACTCGTAGAACTTGCCGATGTCGAAGTAGACCGAGGCGCCCTCGAACCCGCGCGACGTGGCCAGGCCGACGTAAAGATTGCGGAGGCAGGCCGCCCCATCGCAGCTGGTGTCCGAGCTGCAACCCCAGATCTCGGGCAGCGCGCGGTCGGCCTCCCACTCGGCGCGGCATCTCCTCCGAATGCGACCCCAAAGGCGCGGCCAAAAGGCCAAACCCATGGGCCGCCAGCCCCCATCAGGTTTCCCCGGAAACGCGATCAGCGTCGCGAAGAGGCCTGCGGGCATGGGGACACGCCCCCATGCAGTCAACATCTCAGCCACCCTCTCAGCAAACGGCCTGCCCAGGAGCAGCAGCAGCAGCCTCGGGTGGAGGGCGCCCCGGCCCAGCGCTGCCCCTTTGGGGGAGGTCTTGGCCGCCGCCGCCACTTCCTCCCCCGCGATGGCGGGCAGGTCCATGGCGACCGCCCAGCTCGATGGGGGGGTCGCCTCGCGGCCCCCGAGGGGCCGCCCGGGCGCGTCGGGGGCGCCCCAGTCCAGCCGTAGTCTCTACCGGTCCAGCAGCGTCTGGCCCGGCGCCGCCTGCCCTGCCAGCGGCGCGGAAGGGGGCTTGGCCTCGGGCTCCACGTCCAGCGGCGCCGAGGTCTGCTCCGCGTGCACCTGCTCGGTGTCCGCGCGCGCTGCTGCCGCCAATGCGTCGTCCACGAACTCCTTCCAGCGGCGGCGCGCGAGCTGCGCGTCGGCCCTGGCGTGGTCGGCCGAGGCCGCCTCGATCGCGCCCAGGAAGAAGCTGCCAGCAGGCGTGGGCGCTTTCGCTTCCTCCAGCGGCAGCCGCATGTTCGCGCCCGCGAACATTGCGCAGCCGTGCTGGGTGAAAATCGGCACGAGGGCGAGGGCGGCATCCTCCAGGCGCTGCACGTAGGCCCTGCGCCCTGCCGGCGGCGCCAGCACCGCCGCCACCGCGGTCAGCTGGCGCGCGAGCCTGCCCGGCGAGATCCAGAGGCGCGCGAGCGGGCTGACCTCCTTGCTGTCTCCGTGCGCCGCAGGTCCTTCAGGCCCTTCTTGATTCTGCGGGGCCCCAGCGCCCGTCCTCGGTAGTGGGCGCAGCCCTTCTGGATCCCGAGCAGGTCGATCAGGCGCTGCTCCGCCGCCTCGTAGATCTCGCGCACCGCGGCGCCAGGGAGGCCCTGGTCGCCCTGGGGAGGGGCAGCCCAGCACACAGCCGCCGCGGCATCATAGCCCTGGGTCTTCGCCTCGGGCGTCACCGTCTCCGCCAAGTCGAACCTCTGCGGCGACTGCAGCACCCGGACCTGCGCCGAGGCCCCCAGCCTGGCGCAGGAAAGGTTGCGGCAAGCCGAACGGCCCCCACCGTGGGCCCCAGGGCAGCCAGAGAGGCCGAGACCACGAAGAAGTCGTACTTCCTCTCCTGGCGAGTGGGCTGCTGAGCTTCAAGCATTGCTCCTCCGATCGCCCTCGGCCACCATGGGCCCGACAACATCTGCGGCCCCATGTTCCAGTCGCCCCCCGCGACGCAGGGCTTGCCCAGCCCATTCATGAACTCCTGCAGGGCGCCCAGCAGCTCGAGGCCCAGGCCCGAGAACCGCGCGGAGTGCCCCAGGTAGACGCTGACCACCACCACCACCACCACCTCCAAGTCTCCGAAGGCGACCCTGCGCGCCAGGACCCTGGACGAGAAGTCGCCCCAGCGCTGGTCCAGCGGCGCCGCCCAGCGGAAACTGGCTGTCAGCGCGTTCGCGCCCGAGGAGTCCTCCTGAGCCAGCTGCCCCGCGCGCTTGCAGGGGCCCAGCGCGGCCCGGGGCC